GGGGGGGGGGGGGGGGGGCGAATCAGGGGCAGTAATTGGAGGCATGGGGAGGACAGGGTTCAGCTATTTCGGATGTTGTGGCAGGGAGAGGTGTGGAGGTGCAGGGAGGACTCTAGGATGACTCAGGTGCCCTTCTTCATCTAGCCTTTCGCCCATCCCAGATCGTCTTGTCCTAAACTGAGTCTGCTAGTCTTTCCAGTATTATTTCCCCTTCTTCATGGTTCTCTGCTTCAGCCTAACTATGCTGCCATTATCAAGCGCCTGGCTCTGGGAGGTGGGATGGATGATCACTGAGGACCAGTAGCTCCTGGTGCAGCATGACTCAGGCCTCCTGCTTGCTCCGTAGGACTGGGTTTGGGATTACACAGGCCTTGGCTGACATCCTGCTTTATTAATGGAGTGACTTGGAGTTGTTGCTTTCATGTTGTTTCCTCTTTGGCAAAATGGGCATAAAATCCTTATCTGTTTGGGGTTATTTTAAGAAGTCAACACAAAATGTTTTATTAAGGTCCTAGGACTCAGTAAGAGCTCTTACTGTATTTCCTTTCTTTAACAGATCTATCATAGAATCCCCAACTCGGACTCATCTTCTAGTAAAACAAGGCAGATCATCTCCACGATCAGGACACAGAATCTTCCCAGTTGTCAGCTGGTCTCCCGAAGCCATTACTCCCCTATTTACCTGTCATTTCTTATGCTTTTGGCTGCCCTGAGCTGGCAGTATGTGAGCACCCTGTCCCAGGTCACAGAAGACTATGTCCAGACCGGAGAACACTGATATGCTCACCATGAAATGGATTAATCTTTTTTCAAGGATGGATATTGGCTTCCCCCCATTTTCCCCCTTCTGCTTTAATCCTGTAAGAACTGTGGGCTTGGACCTTGAGAAACTGTGACGTGCAGCTGAGAAGACAAGAATAAAGGAGGATACCTCACCCTCAGTACCTGGTACTTGTAGGTTGTGCTCACCTGTGCATGTGGCTGACAGCGGAGCACTCAGTGCTGCAGGTCAGGAAATGGTTGCCTGGGTGCTGGTGAAAGATCCCAGTGCGCATCCTGGCTAGAATTACCATTAAATGCATTTAATTTGAAGCAGCCTTTGAACATCTATCCTAGTAGAAAAGTGAAATAAATTTTCTTTATGTTTGTCTCCTGCTTTCTTCAGTTGATTTGAATGTAGCAGCTGTGAAGTTTATAGCTCTAGGTAATTTGTGTTTCCTAAGAATGCAGACAGTTTTCTGCACATGAAGGCTAGGAATTAACTTCGGGGTATTCTGGTATTATTTTCTTTAGAGGTTAACTTTCAGATAGATTGCCTTGGCCCCATTGTTGAAGACTGGTAACGAGTTGGATTACACTGCGTTTGTCAAACACAGTTCACTTGAAAGCTTAGGTGAGTGTGGCAGATAAGGAACTCAAGGATGGAGTTAGTGCTTGAGGGACAGGTGGCCATCTGCTGCCACCATGAAGTCACCCAGAGCAGTGCCAGAAAGTGACACAGCTGTCTGGCCCTTGCTTGACCTCCCACTGGGAAAGGAGCGAGTGGCAGTGTCACCTCACCACTCCAGCTTATAGCCTGCATCAACTGCCAGCCTTCGCTTTCTGCAGTTCTGGTAGCTGGATTCAGGGTTTTAAATTCAGCTTTTGTTCCTTTTAGTTACCAGTTTATACACTGAAGTCTCAAAAAATGCAAAAGCTGTGTTCAGGTGATCGACTTGAAAGCCGAATGGTACTCAGCCTGATTCTCCTAGCGCCCTGGTTCGCCTTCCTCCTCACCCGGCACAGCGGAGGTTTGTGACATACTCGCCAGTGACTCGCTGAGATCTCACCTTGGACAAGGGAGGACCTGGCCCCTTACTATGGGTGCTTGAACTCTGGCTGAGAATCACTGTTGTAGGGCATTCAGGTGCTTTCTAGAAGCCTAGTGCTCTCAGTGTATATAGACTACAGCCTACTCTTGCTGCAGTCCTTTATGAACGGTAACATAGTGAAGCTGAGGTTTTGCCGAGTGTTGGATTTGCACTGTTGTAGACATACCCACAGTCTTTCCTCCAGTGACAACTGCCACTGGGAGGCTTCAGTTACTTGGTTCATTTGAGGCTCAGTCCTGGACAAACTAACTTGCCATGTACCCACCCTACAGCTGGGAGCCAGACTCAGTAGTAATCTTCCATTAAGTTGAAAGCATCACAACTTGGTTTGAGATTCCAGGATAGGTTGGTAAAAATTTGTGTGTTGAAATCTAAGATTAGTTCTGTTGAAGTTCACAGTGGACAGCCTTGGTCTGAGATGGACATACTGGAAGCTTCTCTTGTGGCTCAGTCACGACCTGTGGGACTTGCTGAGCTTCTATGTGGTTTAGGTGACCTCTTTCTTAGGTCCCTCCCAGCTGGGAAGCTGTGTAATTTCTTTCTGTCACTGACTTGTGCAGAGGTCTGAGATTCAAGCCCACTCCTAAATTCTCTGGCAGATATTTCACTTTTAAATATTTCTCTACTAAAACTGCCAGATAAAATGCAGGATAAAACCCAGTTAAACTTTATAAAAGTATAATTATATCTCAAATATTGCATGGGACATATATAAAAACATTACTTGTTTATCTGAAATTCAAATCAAATTGGGCATCCTGTATTTTTATTTGCTAAATCTGGCAACCCTGCCCTCTACACCACACTTTCATGTAACTAATAAAATGTATAGCATTCCTGGCATGCAGTCTTACTTGATTCCTCCTCACAGTAGAATATTTTAAGTTTTCCTCAGAGTAGTAGCTGAGGTGATGAGATAATGATCAATGGCGGTAATCTGAAGTATTGATACTGATGCCAATTATAAAATTCTTTTATTTTTTTCTAACAAAGACTCCTTAAGCCAAGTGTGAAGATGACCTGCAATTCACTTATTTAGTTACATCACTTAGCACATCCCTGCTGGCTTCCGGGGTGAGGATGGATGGTAGGCGAGGGGACATGGTGGAAGTAGGAGAAAGTGTGTGGAAATGGAATTACTCAACTTAGTCTGGGAGTAGGGAGAATAACTTCACTGGGGTTATGTGTATATTCTAATTGAAATGTTAAGAATAAAATGTTACAAATTTGTAGCTTTGGTAAACACTTCATAAATGCTATGATGAGTTTCACAAATTTTTCCTACAATGTTCACTGGGTGTTTAAAAGCTTATTTTAGGAACGTCTGATTCTTCTGAGTCACATCAGAAGTCAAACTTTCCAGGATTTTGGGAAGAACTAGTCCAACTCTCAGTTGGGGAAGAGGAATAACTGATATCAACAGGCCAGTGGGATGGGTGCCAATTTTTCACATTTCCTCTGTTCCCTCAAGAACTGGTGTACCTTGTGGCTTACAACTGATTCTTAACTAGGCCTATCCAAAGGAATCATTCTTAACCAGCAGTAAACTGAAGTCACAGGGAACTCTCAAAATAGCACATACAGGCTCTGCCTCCACCCTACTCCAGCACTGGAGGGTGCCAGGGAAAGCTGGTCATCCAGCAGGACACCAGGGCTCTGACACCAACAATCACCACGCCTATATGAATCCTTCGGTTGCTGCTCAAAAAAAAAAAAAAAATTCGAATACGACTATTTTCTTACTGCTTGTGAAGGCTTGGGTCACATTTTGGGGATCCATTTACTGAGAAGGGTTGATGAGAGTGACAGGGAACTAAGAGATAGAAGCCGTGGTTTGAAAGGATGCTGGAGCAGTGAGAAGCTAAAATTAGGTATTTACTTTGTTCCCCCTTCCCCCCCCCAAATGAAGCACAATAGCTCTGGTTAGAATTTAAAGAGCACCCAGGTCCACAAGACCATGATTCGTTCTGGGGCATAAGGACAGACAACAGCCACAAGTCTACAGACAGTGACAAATGGTCTTGGAGATCCTGCCAGAACACAGACTTTACATTGGAAGAGAAACCTTTTATTGGCACAGTCATTCCTTGTTAAATTTAATAGGGTGCAGCAGTGATTTCTAAACAATAAAAGCTGGTTTCTTCCAAACTACTTTCACTGCTGTATTAGAGGTCAGCAGTTCAAATCAAGACCACCCCATTTTGTTTTAAGGAGACAGTTGGTAAAACTAGTACAGCTCTTCCAACTATTACTCTCATTCTCATGATCAGCTGAGGTGCACAAAAAATAAAACTTCTATTTAAAAAGAATCATGCCAAGAACGAGATCAGAGCAGATTAGCAACACTGCAAAGCTCAACAGATGCAAGGGCCCCGGGAGAGTGACTTTTTCCAAAGGGCTGCCCCACTATTTCTCTTTTCAACCTATTTCTAAATCTAGAGAACTACTTGCTTGGAGGTACTGCCGATGGGTGGGAAGCTATCTTGTTAGGAAATCCACCTTTCATTCCTTTGGGAAATCTACAAGCCCTTTAGGTCTGTCGTGCTCCCTGTTGATGCACAGATGGGGAAGGAGGAAGGACGTGGAGGTGGTTGCAGCAAGCGCTGGTGCAGCACTAGTCTAAGGGGAAAGACTTGCTTTGCTTGTAGCAGTGGCTTATGTGGCCTAAGTGCACTGTGACAACAGTCCACTGAATGGGCTGGGAGGTAGCCAGGCCTTGGATGTGTCTCCTTGGAAGACAGCTCTCAGTAGACACGAGGTTTGTCCCAATCCAGTCCTTCAGGCCTTGTCAAACATCCATGTGAACTCAAAGAATAAGAGGCATTCCTATCCCTCATCTCATCCCCAGCCCCACTGGCTATATTTAGGGAAATACTGCCCCAGAGCTGGCTGGAAGGGCCCACAGCAGGTTAGATCCTTCTCAAGTACTGCTCAGTGCATGGGAGTCCAGCCACGATTTCCGATTCAATTCCACAGTGATCCTGTCCTCTGAGGATTTTAAAGAAGCCTGGAAAGCAAAAGTCAGATGCCTTTAAAGTATGCTTTGGTTTTGGCCCTTGCCAACATACTCAGACTCATCCCTAAAAGACCCAGGAGTGTTAAATCACTAGGCAGACACCAAACCAGCACCAAGCCAACACCAGGGTGCTTTATCAGCTTCCACTGTTCACCCAGCAGCCCCGCTCCACATCTGGATGCCTCTGGATACTACTTCCATTTGACCCCATGTCACCTGTCACTGCACCTGGTGCAAGGGGGACTGGCAGGCATAAGCAATTTGAAGCTGGGCCCTGCTCCCTATGATCCTCTCTCAGGATCAGGAACTGCCCTTGTGGCAGAGCGAAACCCCAGCCCACTACACCAGCACACCTGGAAAGTCACAGCTAAGCCTGAGGCCTAGGGTTCGAAGCTGTGCAGAGGAAGACAAGATGACAACTGTGTTCTGGCTCATAACACCCTATTGTTAGCAGGAAGGGAGCGGCCACTCACCATTGTCACCCCAGTCGGTGTTCCACGAGTTGCCAACCAGCCAGTAGGGGGTGTCATTCTCCACTCCCCAGCCCAGGATGCGGACTGCATGGCCTCCCACCATTTCTCCAGTGACATGTTGGTATACACCTGAGAAAGGGAAAAACCAGTTCAGGCCGACACCCAGCCACTGCCCCATCCCTCACAGCATCTTTCCAACTCAGCTGTCTACCCCAGTCAGGACAAACAGAGCCCCAAGGGCCCCAAAGGCCTACCGCTGTTTTCAAACAGGGTTCTATAATTCAAACAGGATTTAAATATATTTTTGAAAGCCCAACACACATAAATATATTGAGTAAACATTAAAATGGAGTCCAACAAAACATGCCTGTTGGTAGTCTTTAAAACTAAAGTATTAAATTCTAATTTAAGAAATAAAGTTAATGTTAAGATACCAATGATCTGTTTTACATACTGGAACTCCATGTAATGATTTACTTGTCAAAAGCAGTCTGTGGCTGAAAGAGCAACTGCTGCTCTGGTGTCACCTGGAGATGATGCAAGAGAGGCTGGCTGGTGGAGCCAGTGTTGGTCAACGGACAGAGACACTGGCTAAAGGGCTCGGGGCTGGCCAACCAGGCTATCCTCTTGTCAAGTGGGAAGCATGTTCTTTTATAACATGGCTGCAGACTGTGTTAAGAACTACCAGTTTTATAGGCTTTTTTTTCTTGCCAGAATCACCATCCTTTGTCCAATCCGTTTTATAAGAGTTGAGAGTTTTGGGGTTTTCAATCTAGCAGAATGTACGTGAGACAGAAGCGGCCAGCACAGGCTGTTCATCTGGGATGGGGTGTTTGTAAGACAGCTCTCAGGCCAAGCGCCGGCCAGGCCCCCACCGCACTGAGTTGCACACAGCAGGTGCTCCATGCTTCCTCCGCCACGGGGGGTAGGTAGGCATGATGCTAGGGCTTTGTCAAGAAAAGATGAATAAAGAGGGCCACTCAGTCCAGACACACACAAAGCCTGCAGTTAGTGTGATGAACATGCTGACAAAGCAATGGAGGTGAACAGAGGTGGGACACAGAGGCTCCAGGGAGGTGAGGAAAGGCTTCCCTGAGGAGATATCTGAGCTGGCTTAAGGGATGAGTGGAATGAGCAGGAACTGGCTATACAGAAACACTGGAGAAGGGGTCTGAATAGCATGTGCAGAAGAGGCAAACAGGTGCAAGAGAGCAGAGCAGGAGCAGCTGCTGAGAGCAGTGATTATGAGTGACAGGGGGCCAGCTGCTGAGGGGTCTGCAGAGCTGGGGTGAGGGGAGGCCTGACACCGTCCTTCTGGACACCTTGCCTTCCTCCTCTGATCAAGTCCTGTTGGCCCACCCAAACCCAGACCTCCCCTCCCCCCGTTGCCATCAGGGGTCAATACACACCAGACTTGTACATCAGGAAGTCCGAATACACGGCGAAGGCTGCCTCCACTGGGCCATTTTTGAAGATCTCTGCCATGATCTCCTTCTCACTACTGGGGACGCTGTAGGACTGGCATCCTAGCAAATGAACCAGCAAGTGGAGTGAGGCGTGCCCCTCACAGCTCCACCAGCCAATTCACTGACTTATGGGGAGCCACCAGGTGAAGACTGAGCATCTAGGGAACTTGCCCAGCCTGGGAGGGGGTCAGGTAGGAGGGTGGGGGTGGCAGTGATCAGGTATACCCCCTGAGGGAGGAGTGATTGGGCTGGATCTGGAAGCTGAGAATCGGGAGAATGTGGCCCTGAGGGCAGAGTGTGACCTAGGAGGACTAGGCCAGGTCACTCCCCTATAAAACAAGGAGTTTGGTTCCCTCCAACTCTGAGGGTCTGGCTAAGACAACATTTGAGATGGAATTCAGGATGGAGACAGAAAACACGACAGGCAAGGGGCATTAGTGCCCTTTCTCCACCCCATGATCCTGACTCCAAGATTCAGTTGCTCTGGCCTCTTCCTTCAGCTTGGGAAGGCTGTCAGCAGGTCTCAGGCCCAGTGTGCTTACCAAAGTGTTTGTCTTCTTTGTAGGATGGGGTATAGCCCGGCTCGCAGATCTTGCTGCACTTGGGGGTGTCCCCCCTCTCCCCTGTGCATGAGGGCCGAGAGCCATTCACGTGGTGCTCACAGGGAGGGATGGAGTAGGGTCTGCAACCTGGGGGGACCAAGTAGAAAGGAGGGTGTCAGCCAACAGCCCCTACAGAGGCCCCTTGAGGCCAGAAAGAACTGGGGTGATGACATGCAGGAACAGTAGTTACCCTCAACTCTGCAGCCTGGGTCTGTTTTCCCACCTGTTGCTAATTCTGCCATTGAGAGGAGGACTGGCTTGTCTTTCTACCCTATTTTTCAGCCCAGCACTCTTGCCCTCAACCCTCAACCTTCACTTTATAGTGGAAAATGAGACCATTATTATTCATTGCTTATAAAATCCATCTGGCCAGATAGGGACTCAGGGCAGATACTCACCTACATGGGAGTCATAGAGACCACCAGAAACCAGGCCTTTCTTTGTCCAGAAGTTCCAAGCGCCAGAAGGAAAGCCCCCATTACAGCTAAGAAAAGAGCCATTCATTAGAAGTCATCGTGAGAGAGGTGCTATCTGCTCCCACCCCACTGCTTGGTGGAGCCACTGCTCCCTTCAGCAACTGGCCCAACAGTTCTCCCAGATCCTAACAGACCCCCAATTCACCCTCTCCTGGAATGTCCTTTCTTCAGGGAGTCACCTAAGCTCTCTTCCCTGCCCACCAAGACCCTCAAGAAGACAGAAGAACGCCCACATTCCTGCCTCCACCAAACCAGGTTGTGTCCTTTCTAGAACAGGGATTCTCAATCAGAGAACACACAGAATTCCCTGGGACACTTACAAAAGCACCAGTGCCAGAAATTCAAACTTAACTGGTGTGTGATCAGGCCTGGACACACTTTTTTTTAAACCAATCTAGGGAACCATTATCCTTAACTACAGATAAGAAAACAGGCCCTGAGGCTATTACACTGCCTTGGGCAGGTTAAAGGGACAAGATGACAAAAACCAGACCTGAGATCAGAAATTTAACCACCAATGCCAAGCCCATCTGTTTTTCCCAGACCCTGCCACCCACAGCTAGCCCTGTGGGGCCAACTTGGTTTTAGGAGCCTCCGGGAAAGCAGCAGCCATGCTAGGGCCTGCTTCCAGACTCCCCAGGTCCCCACAGTGCCTCCACCACATCCGTCCTTACCACTCCCACCCCAAGGAGCCTCAGTCATCCGCCATCTGAGGAGGCCTCAGCTCTGGGTCTCCCTGGTGCCATTCCCTCCCTGGAAGGTGCTGCCTAAGACTCACCCGTCCCCACACTGGAAGCCACAGCAGGTAAGCAGGTCCTCCGCAGACACCTCCACACTGACATGCCCATTGGTGAGGATGCAGATCCGGTCAGAAATGGCTTCCACAGCTCCAAATGCCTGCAGAAATAAGTGCCACCCA